TTTTTTTTGGTCATTGTTTTTTAATGTTGGGTAAAAAAGGTGTTAACGTTAGGAAAATCCGCATAACTCAGTGAGCCAGTATTTTCCAAATGACCATTGCATGACATTACAAATTTATGCGTAGCTAAAAGATCCCTTCAAAGTGCAAGATAGACTGTGATGGCTTTTTGATGGTTCAGTTTGGCTAGTCTGAACTAGACTATCTGAACAAGACTGAACTAGCCTGAACTAGATTTCTATTTTTAATGTTTCCAGTAAGAATGGGCTGCAAGGGATATTCTCTCCTGAGAGCTGGAGTATGGAAGGGAGGCAGCAGCCATTTTGTTGTATACACATACCTTCTCTCTGCTATTCAAACATTAATGGAGGTGCTACTGTGAAGGAATTTTGCAGATGTGATTAAAATTCCTAATCAGTTGATTTAAAGTTAAAAGGCGGGTTATCTTGGATGAGCCTGACCTTAGGACTTCCCTGAGCTAAATAAGAGACTCCAAATAGCAGCTGCGTCTGCAAATTGCACCCTTCCCTCTGTCTCTTTTCCACACTGCCACCTTTGGGCAAGCTTCAGCTCACAACCAAGGACCTCCAGCCTGCTTGTGATTTTCCCTTCTTGACTGCCTGCCCTCCCCAACTTTGGACTTGCTTAGCCACCCCACAGTTGCGTTAGCCAGTTCCTTGTAATAAATCCCTTAATATTATACATTATCTCCTACTGGTTCTGCTTCTCTGGTTGGACCCTGACTGATAACATAGGTCAATGGATTTTAAATGAACAGTATGGAAACTTTCTTGAAGTGGTTTCAGATTCCATATTGCAACCAACCTTTAACTACCATTTGTCAAATTTTGGTGTAGTATCAAAGAAAAATATCCACAATTATCTGAAAAGGCTATCAAAAGTAAGTCTGCCGTTTTCAACTACATTCTTTGCGAGATTGGGCTTTCTTTGTATACTTTAAGGAAAACAACATTGCAAGTCATTGAATGCAGAAACAGGTATGAGAATCTAGTTGTCTTCTATAAAACCAAACATTAAAGATTTGCCATAATTTAAAATATCACACTTCTCACTAATTCTTTTAGAAAATATAGGTTTTTTTAAATTGAAATATATGATTTATATTTCTTTTTTCTCATTTAAGGCTATAAATCTCTCTAAAAGTCCTACTTTTCATTATCATTCAGTTGAAATTATTATCTAATTGCCGTTATAATTTCTTCATTGACTTATATGGTGTATGTATGAATGGGTTTCTTATTTTCCAAAATGTGAATGTTGTCTAGTTATATTTTTGGATAACCCTGGCTTATCTTGTGGTTAGAAAACATGTGAAAAGAATGTATATTCAGCAGGTGGTATGCGCAGGGTTCTGTATGTTCGTTAGGTAAGTTTGTTGTTCCTGTTGTTCAAATCTTCCATATCTTTCCTAATTTTTAGCTTTTTTTTTTTATCAATTCCTGAGAGAGCCTGTATTAAAATTTCCCATTAGAATGATTGATTTTTCTTTTTTCCCTGTATTTACTGGCATATACCTAGTTCAAAATCTTTTCATATTCCTGCTCAGTGATGTGTCTGGGGTTTGTGTCCACCTGGTTTGAGGAAGGTGACATGGAATTAGCCCTAACCTAGTATAGTGTTGAGCTGCCTGCTTCCTGTGATTTTGGTGACTCAACCAGCTCTGGTCACATCTAGATTATCTAGTATTCAGAGTTTGAAGGGGCCAGGTTAAATGAAAGGATGCATGGGTCCTTTTTTGGGGGGAGGAGGGGGGCTGCAGTGGGGACTTTGGTTTTATTCTCCACTGTCCAGACATTTGGAGCCCTGGTGGCACAGTGATTAAGTCCAGTGGCTGTCAACCAAAAGGTCAGCAGTTCGAATCCATCAGCCGCTCCTTGGAAACCTTATGGGGTGGTTCTACTCTGTCCTATAGGGTTGCTATGAGTTGGAATCGACTTGACAGCAATGGGTTTGGTTTTGGTTTTGGTCCAGACAGTTAGCCCATGTTGCATGATTTGAGATGTTGTCTTCCCACCTCCACTGATGTGTTATTTAGCAATCTTGCTCCTGCTAAGCAAAGGAAAACTTTGAATTCTCACTAGATTCTGGTAATAGAAGGATTTCTTTTTAATCTCAGTTACCATAACCAGTTCTGCCAACTAGTGGCTTTCCTAGATTTAGGGATGTCTAGTCGAGGGGCAATTCTACTCTGTCCTATAAGGTCGCTATGAATTGGGATCGGCTAGACAGCAACGGGTTTGGTTTTTTTTTTTTAATTTTTTTAGTCAAGGTCAGGGAGCCCTGGTGGTGCAGTGGTTAAGAGCTTGGCTGCTAACCAAAAGGTTGGCAGTTTGAATCCACCAGCCACTCCTTGGAAACCCTGTGGGGCAGTTCTGCTCTATGCTGTAGGGTCGCTATGAGCCGGAATCAACTCAATGGCAATGGGAGAGAGTCGAGGTCAGAAGGTGCCCTTGTGGTACAGTTGTTAAGTGCTCAGCTACTAACTTAAAGGTTGGCAGTTCAAACACACGCAGAGGCTCCACAGACTCAAGGGCATGGAACAACAACAGTACTTGAGGTCAGAGTCCGTGGGTGTGCAAATGGTTAACACGCTTGGCTACTAAGCAAAAGGTTGGAGGCTTGAGTCTGCCCAGAGAGTCTTGGAAGAAAGACCTAGTGATCTACTTCTGGAAAAAAACAAAAAATCTGCCACTGAAAATCCTACGGAGCACAATTCCACCCTGACACATGGGGTTACCGTGAGTCGGAATCTACTTGATTGCAACTGGTTTAAGATCAGCTTTTTGAGGTCAGTTTGAGCCAACAGCTTTACGTGACAAAGGAAGTGAGCACCCAGAAAAGTCACTCTTTTAAACGTGGATTGTTTTTATTTAAATATTCCCTTAAGATTTATTTCTCTTTTCTCTTCAGTTATTTGAAGGATTGAAGGCATTTAGGGGTGTAGATAATAAAATTCGACTGTTTCGACCAAATCTCAACATGGATAGAATGTACCAATCTGCTGTGAGGGCAACGTTGCCGGTATGTACATTTTGGAATTTCTTTTGTGTTTCTTTTAATTTAGTTGGTCACTGTGAGTTTATACCAAGCAGATCATCTCTGAATACTTAGGTTAACATTCAGTACAAACCATGTGAACATTGGAGTTGTTTCTGGTCTGCTTTGTAATTAATGAGGTTAAAATACAAGGAGCAACTAGCATTCAGCAATTCCACAACATATATATATATGAGTGTTTGTATATAAACATATATGAGTGTCTCTGGGGGATTAATATGTATGTGGGAGATAACAGGATAAGGAAAAAATATGTCTTAAAACTAAAGTGAATATAATTTAAAGACCACATGGAATTATAATTTTGAAAATGGAAAGTATAGTGTGCACACAGATATTTGGGGGATACTTTGCCTAATTTGACAATAGCAAGTATATAGTGATCTGACTAATTTTTTTAATATTTTATCCAAAGTTTTCTATAAAACAGACATTAAAATGGTTTCTCATGGCTATTGGATCCTGGCTATAATACTGTCCATCATGGAGCAGAATTCATTATAAAGTGAAAGACCCTACGGTTCACATTTAGGTAGGAGGTTACCTGCTTCCAGTCACTAAGCCATGACTCAGCTTGTCTTTCTGAACTGAAGAAGTCTTTTCCTTCTTTTACATACTCGATATATTTAATCTTCAGGAACCTAGTTGAAGCTTAGCATTGTGGAAGCCTGAGGATAGCTAGAAACAAGTAACTGCTCCTATTTAGCCAGCCTGTCCTTCCTCTGCCCATTTTTGTAACTCAGGCTTCACTCACCTCCTTTAGAGGTAACATATAGTAACAGAAGGGAAAGGAAGGTAAATCCTTTAGACTAGGTCCTACTTTCACTCTTCTACCCATTACAGACAGATCCCTGCCAAAAACTTTAAAATGAGGCCAGAGGACAGGGAAGGAACACATGTTGGACATGAGCTCTGCTACAGTGTAATGTGGTTTCACATTCCTTGGCTATTTTATCATAGTAGTGAGCTGTTGTCAAAAAGTTATTTATTGTAAATTTGCATAGCTTCTCTGTACAGAGACAAAAACTCAAGTCCAGAGGTTCAATGACTTGCCCAGGTCACAACAGGGTAAGGTGACAGGGCCGGAAATTGGGATTTAAGTTTTTTGATTCCTAGTTCTGTTTCCACTAAATCTTGTCTCTAGATAGCAGTCCCAGAGACCCAAGCAAGTGATGCAGGGTGATGATAAGGCCTTTATGTTTGGCAATCCCAATTTCTGTAGCATTACTACACTATTATTGTTACTTTTATCCAGTTCATTTCTATCTTGGATAATTCATCACATTTCTTAAAGTATGTTTTTCTACTCTGCCGTGTGAATAGAAATGACTTAAATTATTTTACAAACCATCACCCATCTACTATATGAAAAACTGTTTTTTTTCCTTACTAATAGTCTCTTTTGCTTTTGCCCATTTTCCTATTGGATTATCTGCCTCTTTTTAACTGATTTTTCTGGATATCTTTGTGTATTCTGGTTATGATCATTTGTTGGTTATAGGTTACAAACACCTTCCCCCAATTTGTTGCTTCTTTCATCTTTTGAGAAAGAGTCTTTAAATAGAAGTTTTAAATCGTCAAATTTTATCTTTTTCTTTATGAACTGTGTTTTACGTCTTTTATTTAAGAAACATTTCTCTACCTTAAGGATGCAAAGATATTTTGTATTTTCTTATGAATATCTTAATGTTTTGTCACACTGATGTATTTTATCCAAATACAATTCATCTTTATGAATTTTATAAGAGGTAGGAATCCAATTTCTTATCTTTTCCATATGGGTAATCCATTTTCCTAGCACATTTTTTTTTATTGTTGTAAAAATATATATAACATAACATTTGCCAATTTAGCATTTTTCACGTGTATAATTCAGTGACACCAATTACATCAGTCATGTTGTATAACCATCACCAATATCTATTTCCAAATTTCCCATCATCATAAACCGAAACTCCATGTTTTCTGAACAATGACTCACCCTTTCCTTCTCCCTCCCACCCCTGGTAACCATTATTAAACTTTGATCTGTATACATTGCCTTTTCTAGGTATTTCATACAAGTGAGATTATATAATATTTGACTTTTTGTGATTGACTTTACTTCACTCAGCAGAATGTTTTTAAGGTTCATCTGTGTTGTGTCATGTATCAGTACTGCATTCCTTTTTATGGCTCAATAATATTTCATTGTGGGTATGTATCATAATTTGTTTATTTGTTCATATGTTGGTGGACATTTAGGTTGTTTCCACCTTTTGGTTATTGTGAATAGTGCTACTGTGAACATTAGTGTACATGTGTCTATTTGTGTTGCTATGTCCTAGCACATTTTTTCGTAAAAACCATCACAGAAAAAGAAATTCTTATTTGGTTTTTACTAATATTACCTTTAAAAATAAAAAAACAGTGTAAAGCTTCCACAAGGATCATTTCTTATTCTTATTGCTTATCTGAAAAAATTTCATCATTCATTATGTTTTCCATTTTTTCAGGTATTTGACAAAGAAGAGCTTTTGGAGTGTATTCAACAACTCGTGAAATTAGATCAGGAATGGGTCCCCTATTCGACATCTGCTAGCCTATATATCCGTCCTACATTCATCGGGACTGAGGTGCAAACTGACTCCCTGTTTTGGCGTACTTTGGTGGGCAAGTTATCATTGTTTATTCTTGTGTGAAACTTCTGGCAAGTAGCCCCAGTAGCATCATTAATAACTCCTTTCTGCTGATTATCAAAACTCTATCAGCACACACTTTCTGTAAAGGGCCACATAGTAAATATTTTAGGTTTTGTGGGCCATATCGTCTCTGTCACAGCTACTCAGCTCTACTACTGTAGTGCAAAAGCAGCCACAGACTGTACAGAATTGAATGAGCAAGGCTGTTTGCCTCCCTTGGATCAACACTAACCATTATTTCCTAAGTTACTAGTTGCATGCCTCCCTTCCGGGCAGCACTTCTCCATGGTAGAAGTCGTAATGGTTCTGAAAATTGAGGGAGGAAGAGCTGATAGTTTTATTTTCCTGAGGTCTTGGGATTACTTGGTAAGGAGTGGGAATGGAGAGAGGGTGGCGATAGAAACTGCTGAAGATGAAGGTTCAAAATGGGAGCTGGGAAGGAACTTGAAGAGCTGGAATGGGAGCTTGAAACAAGATGGCCTGAAGATCTCCTGGTAGGTCACAGTCTACTGATGCAAAAAGAAGGCATGAACTTGTAAGTGCCTGGAGAGGCTAAGGCTATGTGTGTAGGTGAGTATGTTGTATGAAGACCCTGCCACTCATCTCCTTTCTCTACTAGGCAGCTGTGGCCTTATGAAAAGTGGATGATATTGAGGGATAACTGATGGGTGGAGATTGAGTGTGAATGGCAGATGAAAGGGGGAGGAGGTATGAAGACCTTTAGGAATAGGGAGAGAGAGATAGAGCTCTTTTGCAATAGTCTAGCCATTGTGTTCTCTACTAGGTTGTCATATGGTTATCAAGTTCTCTGTTAGGTTGTATGAATGCAAAAAGCAGGGAAATGGGGCCATAAGAATAAATACCTCCTAAGTGGCCCTTGGGCCCTTGGACACCTTCATTATCATTAAGAACTAGATAATGAAATTCACAAATCACAATCTCTGTAATGAGTTTTAAAGAATTGGGACAGTTTAAAAGTAATGTATTTTCTTGAAGTTTCTGACATTTTAATATTATTATTATTTTTTAACTTTATGATGTTGCTGTTAGGTGCTGTTGAGTCGGTTCCAACTCATAGTGACCCTATGTGCAATAGGATGAAACACTGCCCAGTGCTCTGCCGTCCTCAGAATCATTATGCTTGAGCCCATTGTTGCAGCCACTATGTCAGTCCGTCTTGTTGAGGGTCTTCCTCTTTTTCACTGACCCTCTACTTTACCAAGTATGCCTTCTCCAGAGACTGATCCCTCCTGATAACATGTCCAAAGTATGTGATACATAGTCTGGCCATCCTTGCTTCTCAGGAGCATTCTGTTTTTTTTTTAATTTGTTGAAACATTGTTACTAATCTCAAAGCACTACTTTTCAGTGATCCTGAGGTGCTTTCCCAGTTTAAGATATCTGATTCTTCAATTCCTAGCTTTTTGAGAGTTGTTTTCATGCATAGATGTTGGATTTTGTCAAATATTTTTTTCTGAATCTTATAATCTAGAGTTAGACAAGATCTTAAATCTAATCTTTTAGTCCAACTCTTAGTCGTAATAATCCTGTCACTTGGTAGTTCTCAATTTTTTAAGTTTATTTTCTCACAGTTCTGCTAGAATTTCAAATCAGGGTCTCAGCCATGTTGATTCCTCCCGTGGGCCTCTCTCCTGCCGGCCGTCTTCCGCTTGTGGACAAATCCTCACATGGTCGTTCACCACTGTGTGTGTCTCTGCTTCTTCTCTTTTTTAAGATATAACTTAGAAGGGTTTAGGTTTAAGACCCAGCCTACTTTGCTACGACCTCATTAACATAACAAAAGCAAATCCCTAATTCCAGCAGGGTCATATTTACAGGTAAAAGGGTTAGAACTTCTTCCATGTTTCTTTTGGAGGACACAATTCAATCCATAACAACTGGTAATTCTGAAGCACAGTCAAAGTCAAGAACCTCAGTGTCAAAAGCCCTGCCATGTAGTTCTCTTCCACTGTATTCTGTCAACTCGCATACATGATCATGCTTTGGACCTCAAAATCAATAATTTTTAAAAATGTACTTCCTAAGTAGTGAGATAAAAATAGAAAGAAACAACTAATACCATTTGATGAGTGAACAATATTTATGTTTGGTTGATATATTTATATCAGCTAGAATTTTCTAATTATTGGTATAGGCAGAAAAAAGAATCACCTATAATTCAGAAATGAGCACAGTACAAATAACACCCAGTAAAGTATGTGGATTTAAATACTCATGCACCACACAGATGTTCCGTTCATTCTAGTAATTATGCATTGCCTTTTCATGGTGACTGCATTTGATATGTGAAGTACTGGCTGGAGGACTGGGTTTTGTGGCTTCTGGTTCACTCTGATTCTTTCATCAGGGTTGACTAGCTTTTGCCTGTCTTTTCAATGTTGCTTGGTTTTGTGATGGCATCTCTCTTGTCACTGCCTTCACAGAATAATTGCAAGCTCATGTCTGCATCAGTTGTCTGATTTTTTAATTTTTTGGTCTGGTCTCCTTCTTGCTGGCTGACATGCACATTCTTCTTTCATATTCTTTTCATGGTTATATTATCTGATTAACTGGGTCTTATATTCAAGAGGTATGTTGATTTCTTTGAATGAGCAAATAAGTGTTGGGATAATTTATTAAGTGATACAACTGCAGTTCATCGCATTTGCCCAGTCTCTGTTCCCTGATATGGTACTCACCTTACATATAGATTGTATATACGGTAGATTTGTATTGGGCCTCAGCAGATCCAAATAATCTGGCTCGTTGGGCCAGAATCTGGGACTCTGCATTTAAACATTCTCTCCAGAGATTTCTTTTTTTTTTTTTTTTAATATTTTATTGTACTTCAGGTGAAGGCTTACAGAACA